ATAATTATTTCATATATATATATATATATATATATATATATATATATATATATATATTAAGAGTTCAGATGCAAAAGCCTCTAAGTGCCATTTGAAATTTTCTTCTAGAATGATAATTTTTATCAAGCTTGTACATTTAATTTCAGTGATTTCACTTAAATGGCAATGATAATTACCTATTAATTGTTATTTAAGTGAAATTACTGAACTTAAATATACAAGTTTGATAAAAATCATCATTAAAGAAGAAAATTTCAAATGGCATTTAGAGGCTTTTGCATCTGAACTCTTCATATATATATATATATATATAAATACACACGCATATGCTTGTATATATTTAAGAAATATTTTTTTGTATATAGATTTATATTATGATATATATATATATATATATATATATATATATATATATATATATATATATATATATATATATATATATATATATATATATATACCCACATGTAAACACAAACTTTTATTTTGGATGCGATTAATCGTTTGACAGCCCTATGTTTTTTTCCTAACATAATTCAAATGAAATTTAAAATGCTTAAAAAAATCTAATAATAAATCAAAGTCTCAAAACAACTGCTGAAATGATAAATCAAATGGTCAAAAATTATTAAATAATAAATCAAACTCTCTAATGCAATTTTATTTCCTCATTCGTGGAAGCATGAACTGTATCAAAAATCAAGTTTTTGACCAATTCATTACTATATAATATTAATAATATATGTGTGATTTTTATCTGGATTATCAACTAATATATTAAACAAAATAATATATTTTTGTATTGTAACTGCTGTACTGTAAAATAATAAATGGAGTGTTTAATAAAATGTTGTATATTACACCTTTAAATTTACAATATCCTACATTTCAGATGCTATATCATCAAGCTTTTATTTTGGCGTGTTGCTGGCAAATGGATGTATGTAATGCCAAGTAATAATTACAAGATTTCAACTTGTAAGAAGTCCTCAAAGAGCTCGTAATTACAATTTGTAAGCTGGGAATTTTCCGAGAGCTCCTACTTGTTTCACCTGACTGCTGCAGATTAATTTAGGCATTGATAGTGTTGCCATTAAAACACATAATTCCCAGTCCGAGTACATGAAATTACTCTGAGCTCAGGGTAGAAATTACAAATTTACGGTAATTACTACATGGCGTGAACGTAGCTTTGACTTGGAAGAGCAGTGCTACTCTCAGGGCGATAGAGCCCGACCGATAAAGGATTTTGAGGCCGATACCGATACAAATATTTGTTGGTTTTAAAATCCGATATTCCGATATATCGGCCGATATTTTTTATTTATTTTTAATTTCAGAAACGTGCAACAAAACATTAACAGATTTCCCTAACATTAGTTATTTGTAGTTATTTATGAGTTTTATCTAAAATAATATGACGATACGTTTTACAAAGAAACTTGTCTTTTATTGTCACAACAGAACACAGCTATAATTTAACAATGGATAACGTCATACTGCAAATTTTAAAACATACATTTTCAATTTAACAGTCCAAGGAGAGATGATGCGTCTCATTGTTGTAACTGCCACTCTATTAAAGAAATACTTCAGTCACATTGTTAAAAGGACAGTCAGTCAACTACACTGTAACAATGTAATGTAATTATTACTAGCTTCACTCTCAGCTTATTTAACATCAGCAAAACTTCACATGATAGTCACAAAATTTGTCATGCTTATTTGAGTTGAGAGAACTGATGGGGATGATCTTTTAATTGTTATTTAAGCAATGTATGTATCGTGACCAACTCAACGAGTGTTGCCAACAGGGACTGTGTAGAGCGCCCTCTGGTGGACAAACTATACAACTCCAACACTCATGACATGGTTCAAGCGTGTTTCGTCCGTTTTTATTTTATTTTTGAAATATTCATTTATCGGCCATTATAACTGCCGATACCGATAGTTTGGAAAATGCCTAATATCGGCCGATAATATCGGTCTGGCTCTACAGGGCATCATAGTATGCCATATATTGCAATATTAATTTTAATTAGATGCATCATGCAGCCCGGCTTGGTCAGGGTCATGATGCTGTAATTTGGCCAATGTTTCCTAGGAGCCACATGACACTGCCTTCTGTGCAAATCTATGGGAGAAGCCAGAGAAGATTATGCAACATGTTACTCAACAGTTCCTTCACATTGCAGATGAAATGGCAAATGTATGCAAGCTTTAGCTGATTCATTCCAGGTTTCTTGCATGCGGAGTGACTTTGAGGACGGATCCGAGAGGGAGGTGACGAGGGAGCGGACGTGCTTCCACAGCTCAGAAACGTCGTCCTTAGAAAAACCGGCGACCTGAAAGAGAGCCATGTTTGCTTTGGATGCAATCAAAAGAGTCACTGAGCGATAACGGATCTTTCTCTATTCCTGTAAATGACCCGTTGACAGACGGAAAGGAGACCGTCCTTTGTCCTTGTGCCATCGCAGAACCAAAAAAAGAAACCACGGCAAAAAAAAAAAAAAAAAAGAGCGCTTCCTCTTGTATTCCTTCTATTTCAGTCTTTCTGTGGGATTAGAAGTCGTGTTGGAGAAACCCAGGACGTCCTGCGTTGTTTTAATGTTATTATTGTTATTCTTCATATAATTCTTAATATAAAAATAGTCGTGATTTTAACGGTAAAATGCTACAGTGCAAAACTGTTAATTGGTTAAAAGAAAGTTTCCATACTATATACAGTAAATAACTGTGATCTCATGGTACATTTAATGTCATTTTACTGTAAAATACCGTTAAATTTACAGTTTTTGAAATTGAAAAAGAACAACTCATTGTATAATTTACAGTTAAAAAACGTAAATTGACACATTTTATGTATCTTGTTTTTTTTTCTAATCAGTTATGTACATGTTACATTTAGTGTTAAATTAATGTTTATATTAACAAGATTAGAGTATAAGCCAGGCTTATTCCGGTTAGTCAGGCTTATTTTTGGTAGATTCGTTTTCATAAATCAAGCTTAAAAAAGTTCAAACTCAGTTACCCCGGCAACTTATGCTGGCAAATTAACCTGGTCCGGGGCAGGCTAACTGTCAGGCTAATGGTGCGTCCTATTATAGCCAACGAACCGACTCGGACCTCGGATTTGACGTCACGTACACACTTCAAGCGTTCTATTATGTTTTGCGTGTCCGAGTCGGAGAAAAAAAAATGGACGCCACCCGGAAAGCTGTTATAATGGTAGCACTGGCCGAGTACCAGGCACTTACATTAAAAAAAAAAAATATTATGACTACACCTTATCAAAACGCAGCCATTGAACTTGAAAATATTCACTTTATTTAATGTTTTTCATGTTAATCTTCTGTTAGCAATGCTAGCAACGTTAGCAATTGCACTCACAACAACCGATTCCCATACCTACAGGGGACGCAGTAATACGAGTGATTATAATTGTCATTTAAAATACCAAAGCGGTTTAAAAAACAATAAAATCAATTCATTCTTACAAGTCACAGGGCGCAGCCATCTTGAATTCCGAAACGGATATCTTGCTCGGTGTCCTCACGGTTGTCCGACGTCCGAGAGGTGAAATCCGAGGAAAGGGGGCATGTTGCTAGGCAACGTCTGTCGTCCGATTCGGATCTCCGAGACGGATGAATAATAGAACGCATTATAAGTCTGAGTTCAGGCTTAATGAGCAAACCATTTACACTCTTAGAAGAAAAGGCTTTAGAACCTTAAAAGATTCTAAAGCGCTACGTATTTGGAACCCCTAAAATGCAATGCATGCACTGTAAAAAAATATTGATATTGAATATTTAACTTAAAGTAAGTAACCTGGGTTGCCTTAATTTTAAGTTCATTGATCTGGAAAAAGTGAGTTAATACAATGAAGGAGATTAATTTAACAATTAGAAACTCAAAATAATACGTTATCTCAACTAAATAAATTATTTAAGTTGATTTGACAAAAGAAAAAATGTTGTGATTACTACACTGTAAAAAAATATTGCTGGTTTAACTTAAAATAAGTGACCTGGGTTGCCTTAAAATTTTAAGGTCATTGAACTGGAAAAAGTGAGTTAATACAATGAAGGAGATTAATTTAACCAGAAAATCAAAATAATAAGTTATCTCAACTAAATAAATTATTATAAAGTTGATTTGACAAAAGAAAATATGTTGTGATAACAAATCTTGAAAATATTTTTTACAGTGTGTGAATGATCACAAAATTCAAGATATGGTGGTTAAAAAATGTAATTAATCAATATCACACGAAGAGTGCCATTTCAGTTTTTATCCTCCAAAAATCTGCATGTGATACTAAGTTACTACAACAGTTTAATAAACAATAATTTAAGAACAAGTACAAAATGTTGCAGAATAATGTAATATATGAATGAATACTAGCCTTTAAAGAACCTCTGTGCCAAAAGGGTTCTTTCTTGTCATTATTGAACCTTTTTTAGCATAAAATGTCCTTTGGAGTTGAGTAAAGAACCCTATGCTATATATGAAGAGTTCAGTTGCAAAAGCCTCTAAGTGCCATTTGAAATTTTCTTCTAAAATGATCATTTTTATCAAGCTTGTATATTTAAGTTCAGTAATTTCACTTAAATTACAATTAATAGGTAATCTTCATTGCCATTTAAGTGAAATTACTGAACTTAAATATACAAGCTTGATAAAAATGGTCATTTTAGAAGAAAATTTCAAATGGCATTTAGAGGCTTTTGCATCTGAACTCTTCATATATATGACCCTTTTTTTCTAAGAGTGTACTCACCTGCTGGTATTTCGATGTCATTTTATTTTACTTAACCACTATTAATACATTTTTTTTTAAAAAATAAATAAGGAAATGTGCTTTACTAATAAATTTAAGAAATTATAAGGTATAAATACACAAATGTTCAAAGCTTGTGTGTTTAATTAGTAAGTTTGGTAATTAATGAATTAAAAGTATTAAAAGTAAATAGGGAGCTGAACTCGTTTCAAACTTAACCATGGCGTGTCCTTTGGTAGATGAGGTGGTGGATGAGGGAGCTTTAGTCTTGCGGAGGGCATTTCAAAGAGACAGGTCAGACCCATTAGCATTAAAGGGATACTCCACTTTTTTTTTTTTTTTTTTTTGAAATAGGCTCATTTTATCACTCCCCCAGAGTTAAAAAGTTGAGTTTTAACATTTCCGAATCCATTCAGACGATTTTTCTGATATTTAGAAGAATATCAGTAACCAGACAGTTTCTGGTCTCATTGACTTCCATAGTATATTGTTTTTGCTACTATGGAAGTCAATGAGACCAGAAACTGTCTGGTTACGGATATTCTTCTAAATATCAAAAAATCGTCTGAATACATTCGAAAACGGTATAACTCATCTGTTTAACTCTGGGGGAGTGATAAAATGAGCCTATTTCAAAAAAAAAAAAAAAAAAGTGGAGTATCCCTTTAAATGACAGCTACCTGTATGAACGATATAGGCTCTCAAGAGATGGGATTACCAAGCCCACACATATGCAAATAATTATTTTGTTTAATATGGTGTAAACCATGACTGTGTAGCCTTTCAAATTTTCCACTGGCCCCTCAACTTTCTCCTTAGTTTAACAAACACAGAGAAGTCAAAGTATTTAATGTGATTTGTCTCTTTATTCAGAGTGAATCTGTCTGTTAGGGGTGAAAACACACGAATAAATGTCGTGAATGATCAAAAAGGAAATATATTTTTTTTTTTTTACCATTTTTCTGTAGCTGTTGAATTTCCAGCTCCAACTTCCCCATCTTTAGTTTTTTTTTATACTGAATGTCGATATCAATTGCTGCCATATGTTTAAGGCGGTGTCGTTTATACACTCCTTTTATGTTTTCTGGGTTCTGTAGATTTAAGTTATTTCATTGAATACTCTTGTCACATTGCTTTCATTTCTTAATACTCACTTTGTCACATGTGGTCCCAGACTGAGAGTGCTCAGCATCCTGAAAACACATTATGATAATTTTATCACACAAGTACACTTTTTAAAGGGGATATGAAGCAGTGAATCAAGTTTACATGATTTACAAGATGGATTTCCAATATAATCAACAATTATATAAGAAACATTACAAATGTAAACATTTAGAAGAAAAAAATGCCGCCAGGGCGCCGCCATTGTGCAGTTGACGTCACGGGGTTGGTTGGCTCAAGTTTAACAGACTCTGGGCATTGAAAATCACCACATCAAACTGTGTTTACACCAGTGTTTTGACTGCGAACGACTAATGTTAGGTACAGATATTAGACAAAAAGACGACGTCTAATGTTATATGTTGACAAACTGCACATAGAAAAATTGTTCGCGATGTCTGCCAGTCATATTCCCGTCTAAACGGTCCGTGAAGCTTATATGAGTAGCGTAGTTTCGTTCCACTTTCATTTTGTTTGCATTTGCTGCTAGGTAACGATTAACGAGTCGATAGATCGCTTATTGCTCAGACGCACATAGCAGGTTGTGATTTGTCTCCGTCTCCTTCCCACAGACTTTTACGCTCGCTAATCTTGTCACGGATTCATTGACGCGCCCCTTCCACGTTTAACGTGTGGCAAATTTACTGGTCGCACATGTGCGCCTGGATGTAAAATTCAGTCGCACACGCTCAAATTTTGGTCGCAAAATGCGACCGGTCACAGTCTGGAGCCCTGCATGGCTTAATATCATCGTTTGAAAGCGTGTCACGATTTTATTTTGGCGAAAAACGGCAAGGAAGCCTTTAAGTTTCCGTGACGCTTCTCATTACAAATCCATCTGTCCATAAAAATCATGTGAACGTGAAAAGGTGTTTCCCCAAATGTACGGTAAACTCGCATGAGTTTGCTGCAGTTACTGTGAACCGAGACGCTGAAAACAACGGATCTTGAGCGGCATGCGTGTAAATGAACACAGGGATGCGCTTTTGCTCTGAAACGCAGAGAGAAGGAAAGATGGGCATCAATTCTGTGGAAAATAAGACATATTTGAGTATTAATACTAACAGAAAAATCTCTATTTTTGACTAAATTAGTGCATCATCAGCATCTAGTCGCAGCATGTAATCATATTTAATGCTAATTTTAGATGTTAATCCGTGGAAATGAAAAATGTTAATCACATAGAGTGACGGTTCTCTTTTGTAACCGACCTTTGAGGCATAAACGGACATAAAAATATCCGCTTGGGTTACACAACCTGAGATTAGAGGATTTTGGCATGAGTGTGTGTGTGTCCGAGAGAAAGCGTTTCACAATGGCACAGTGATCGTGGCTGTTTGAGTCCGAAGCACATTCATATTAAATTCTGTTAATGTGCCTTTTTGTGGGATATTCCTATTAACTGGCAGACACTGATGTTCATTGTTCATGCATGGGTCGGTTGGTCGATTCTAGCCGTGCTAACATTATAATATAATGTACATAATATAACCAGTGTCGGGTGTAACTAATTACTAAGTAATTAGTTACTGTAATTTAATTACTTTTCCCTTGAAAATGTAAAGTAAGGGATTACTCTTCATTTATCTGTAATTTAATTACAGTTACTTCTGATGTAATTGAGGTGTGTATAGATCAATCCGATCTCACAGCGATTCGTATGCATTTTATGAGGTGTCTTAATATTACGACCACACTCGTACAAATTCGTATGAATTATTGTATAATATGTATGGAAAAAGTGTAAAATGTAATGAGATCAGACATAAAACAGTAGTCAAAATGTATTGTCTGATGTTAAAAAGTATGTTTTTATAATCTATCCTTCTCCACCTTGGTCAGTTTAAGGATAATTCCTGCAATTTTATAGTATTTATTTGAAAGAATTAAAACCGATTAATGTCTGTCCTTGTATTATTCGGCTGGTTGAGATTTGATTTTGAAAGTAATTACAAGTAATTAAATACTTTTTAGAGAGAGTAATTAGTACAGTAATCTAATTACACTGTTGAAGAGGTAATTAGTAACTAGTAATTAATTACTTTTTTTAGAGTAACTTACCCAACACTGAATATAACATTATAATTTCAATATAATAACACCTTTTTTTTCTCACTTGTAATCAATACCTGTTTAGCCGTGACTATAATCACAATACAGTGCACCATATCTTATATATTCTTGTTTATTCACATGACAATCTGAATAAACTATTCTTTTTGACAATTCTTGTTTTTAATGGAAAATAATTGCTTTTTTTTAACATTCATGTGCCTCAATCTTTAATATTAAAACAAAACAAAACTGTGACATCTCTTCTCTGATGATGAGGGCGGGGCAACCTGTCACTCACATGAGATCCACCAATAGGAAACCACGAGCATTCAAACAATTCAATTAAGCCCCGCCCACATTTGTTTCATACCACCTTTAACAAATGAACACAACTTTTATGACTTTTGAAGCCTAAATACAATCGCCAGAAGTGAAAACCTTAACATTGGCCTTTAAATAAATTACACGTTTGCTTGACCATGCGTTTAACCAAAACCTATTTAAAAATATCAGTTGAATTATCTGAGCTGGATGTAAAAATAAAATATAAAAACCTGTTCTGCGTTTTAGCAGTCTATAACATTGGCTCAATTATGTATGTATGTGTGTATATATGAAGAGTTCAGATGCAAAAGTGCCATTTGAAATTTTCTTCTAGAATGATAATTTTTATCAAACTTGTATATTTAAGTTCAGTGATTTCACTGAAATGGCAATGATAATTACCTATTAATTGTTATTTAAGTGAAATTACTGAACTTAAATATACAAGTTTGATAAAAATCATCATTAAAGAAGAAAATTTCAATTGGCATTTAGAGGCTTTTGCATCTGAACTCTTCATATATATATATATATAAATATATATATACTGTGTGTGTATACTCTATAAAAATGCTGGGTTGTTTCAACCCAAATTTGGGTCAAAAATGGACAAACCCAAATGTTGGGTGTGAAAGTTGAAGTTGGGTTAATTTTTAATTAAATTTGGGTTTGTCCATATTTGACCCAAATTTGGGTTAAAACAAACAACCCAGAATTTTTTAGAGTGTATATGCAATAATTTTGACTCTAATTTCCTTAAACGTGAATATTTATCATGAAGTTTGCTCATCTTTCTGGTTGCCACCCCATCCGTGTAACATCATACAGACAAAATCAGATGGGGATTTCCATACAAGTTTCCAGGTCGATTGTTCGCCTGTTCTACAGCTCTTTTCCAAGTAGAAGTTTGGAAATCCCAAGTGGAATGCAGTGTAGCGTTATATTGACTTCAACTCTAAAAGAACACACGAGTCGGGTTAAACCGATCACGAGCATTATGTTTTATTATCTGGGAACCACAGATTGAAACCACAAAGATTAATACACAACAGTGCAACATGCATGTCTTGAAGAAAGAGCGCGGAGAGACTTCTGCATGCATTTACGCAAAAATAACAAAGACGATAACTAAGATGTTTGCCTGTATCAGGACAGCAGACAGAAATGTGCTCTAACTGATATGACGAATGGCTCGGTTTGGCTGAACTACGACCGGCTCCTGCTTTACTTGATCAGTTTAAGGGATTGTGGTGGAACTGTAATGCAGTAAATAAGGTCTCACTCCCTCACAGTCTTTGGGGAAAAGCAGTAAAAAGCTTGGAAGGATCTCAGGTCAACGGTTGTTTACAGCGGGGGAACATTTTGCTTGATCATGCTTTCTTCGTGTGTGTGTGTGTGCGGGAGAGAGAGAGTTAGTGACATTTTTGAGGGTATAATGGACCACATACCTTGAAGCTCAGGTATGCGAGATGTTTTCTCCCTTGGTGGCCGTACATATTTGTAACCTTTCATTATGAATGAAACCTTGTTACTACAACTACTAGTCTCTCTCTCTCTCTCTCTCTCTCTCTCTCTCCCCAGTGGCTTATGTTCGGCGTACTATCTTACTAGTTACTGAATAAGGCCTGTCTCGACATAGATAATGTTACATTGTTGTTAAAATCCCCCTGTAGTCAATAATACACCTTTATGTACATATTGGCATAACTGTAACTCGACACCTTTGCCTCATTTAGTATACATGATTCTATGAATATGCAAATGAGCCCCGCCTTCATTCACTCCCTCAGCTCAGAGACTGGTTGACGATCACACATTGATTGCATCTGATTGGTTACAAGGCCGTTTGTGACAGAGTGTTTTTGGTTCACTGCAGTTTTAAGGAGAAAATACTCAGCAATGGTGTTGTCATTTTGTTTGAATAATGAGTTAAAATATATGCAGCTGCAATTACTTCTGGTTCAGTTGTTAAGATAGGAAGGTCAAAAATAGTAGTGGTTAATCAAAATTGACAGCCGATTTTGATATCTAATGGCTGCTATATAGCCAATTTTATGATAGCACACTATTTATTTTAAAGAAGTTACAAATGCATAACAATTTATGATATATTAAATTTATATTTCACATAATTTTACTGAAATAATTAGATGAAAAAAAAAGTCTTTAACCCTTATGCTGCATTAGGGACATTTTTGGTCTTTTGCAGTTTAATTTCTTTGACCATTTTGGCTGTTTTAATGCAAATGGTATGAAATTTGGCAAAATTGTGACTTTTTGGATACATGTAAAAAATGTGATCCCATTTTGCAAAATATGTATAACGCACACTGTGTAGATCAAATAGTAA